AAATTTAAACAAATTTATTTTGTTATTTTTCCTTGGTCGTATTTTGGCTTTAATTCCTCGGAAATGACTACTTGAGTATTCTAAAAAGCCAAAATTTCAAGCTATAGTTATGAAGTTCAGCTTCATGACCAAGCAAGGCCAAAGCTTGCTCTTCGTTTTGACTAGTTAGCTGTTTGATAGATGTTTGATACTATCGCCACCGGGATTTCGAGAATGTCTACAAGTATGTGTTTTTCTAAGACTTCTAATTCAATAGATCGTCTTCACGTGGCGTGTTTTTATCCTCATCAGGCATAAGAGGCGGTATATTTATATCTGTTTACAATTAGCCACAAAATGTTTTGATACCTAATTTGTTATTTGATAGTTAGAGTGGTTATCGTTTGGGTTGAGTGTCTTAAAACAAAAACTAAACCAATTACTTACCAATTAGACTACCCAGCCAATTTTAAACCGTATGTTATGGAGACCCGGCAGTTGTAAATACTAATTTCTAGAATGTTTAGTCAGGCAATTTTTTTTCCCAGAACCTTTTTCTGTCACGCTCAGGAACAGTTTAGAATATTCTGATAAATGATGTAATTACGATATAGTGCTAATTAAACAGTAGTGTGTTAGAAGCTCCAAGAATGTTCTAGAATATTCATTAATTAATTACATGTAAGGACGCAATTAGGTAGCGTGGGTTGTTGTAATTGTCGGCAGAGACGGACTGGAGAAGCTATCCCAAGAGAATAGAGGAGAACTATTGAGGAACCGCATTTAAAGTCAGGTGAATCGAGAGGAGATTTCTTCGGAGACATCGGCGCGCTTTGCGTCAGTGGTGACTGAAGGTTTAGTAGTAGGTTTAAGTTATTTTTCTGATAGACTGCATTGTTTAGAAGTCGCTCCGTTGTAAATGGAATTTTACGACGGATAAATAACCTGGGTTTGTAGAGGAGTTTCGCAGTGCATCTTCTCTGTCGGTGAGGTCAGCTTTCTTTTTACCTTCGACATTTTCGACAACTTATCAGTGTCAAGTACCTGTTGAGGTTGTTACAACTTTCCTCACGAAAGCCTTTGAGTAGTCCGCGCCTACACGACATGTCCGCGCGATACTTAAGCAAGACCCCTTGCTCGATATTGGGAAGTTAAATTTGATCGGTTCAGAATAATCGACAGCATTGAACCAGGGTTGAACGCTTCAGGGTGATAAGCTTCTGATATAGTTTTAATTATAACGCTGACATACTTCAATAAACACTTAATGACAGTCCTGACTAAAACAGTTAGTTTTGTTTCCGGGGAATCTCAATGTTTGCCGAGGTGATATCAAGCGATCAAGATGATGCCTTTTTCATACGCTTTCGACCTTTTTTAACACCTTATTTTAGCAGCTGGACTTCGGGCGTGTGTATTTATGAGGCTACTCGTTAAGGTTAAGACGAATTGTAGATTTCGACCTAACTTGAGAAAAACTGGCCAATGTTTTCAAGATGAGACGCCTGCAACTTACCTTATTTTAGAATCTCAACAGTTGCCGTAAATTTTTGATCAGTTGGCTATTTGCTAAACTAGAAAAAATATTTACACCCATGAGTTTTTATTTATTTATTTATTTAGCCGCTCCAATGCCAGTACAACTGCTTGAAGTACCTGACAAGATCGACAAATGTGACTTTCTTTTAAAGTGGGAAAAGACTCGTGACAACGGTGCGTCTATAACAAAATACACGGTTTACCAAAGGACAGTGAATGAAAGTGATCAAGCGCAGCGCTGGAGAAATGTCCATTCTTCCCTTGCTTGCGAATATCATGTGCTTAACTTGGAGAGGGGTGAACTCTATGAGTTCAAGGTAACTGCCACAAACAAGGTTGGAGAAGGGATGGAAGATGAACAGTACTTCAAAAAAGTCGAGGTAGAGGCAGGTAAGTTTATCTGAATGACGAGCTTAAGTTTTGACATAAATCTACCATATAAGCTATTGAGGAACCGCAATTAACGTCAGGTGAATCGAGAGGAGATTTCTTGGGAGATATCGGTGCGCTTTGTGTCAGTGGTGACTGAAGTTTTAGTAGTAGGTTTAAGTTATTTTTCTGATAGACTGCATTGTTTAGAAGTCGCTCCGTTGTAAATGGAATTTTACGACGGATAAATAACCTGGGTTTGTAGAGGAGTTTCGCAGTGCATCTTCTCTGTCGGTGAGGTCAGCTTTCTTTTTACCTTCGACATTTTCGACAACTTATCAGTGTCAAGTACCTGTTGAGGTTGTTACAACTTTCCTCACGAAAGCCTTTGAGTAGTCCGCGCCTACACGACATGTCCGCGCGATACTTAAGCAAGACCCCTTGCTCGATATTGGGAAGTTAAATTTGATCGGTTCAGAATAATCGACAGCATTGAACCAGGGTTGAACGCTTCAGGGTGATAAGCTTCTGATATAGTTTTAATTATAACGCTGACATACTTCAATAAACACTTAATGACAGTCCTGACTAAAACAGTTAGTTTTGTTTCCGGGGAATCTCAATGTTTGCCGAGGTGATATCAAGCGATCAAGATGATGCCTTTTTCATACGCTTTCGACCTTTTTTAACACCTTATTTTAGCAGCTGGACTTCGGGCGTGTGTATTTATGAGGCTACTCGTTAAGGTTAAGACGAATTGTAGATTTCGACCTAACTTGAGAAAAACTGGCCAATGTTTTCAAGATGAGACGCCTGCAACTTACCTTATTTTAGAATCTCAACAGTTGCCGTAARTTTTTGATCAGTTGGCTATTTGCTAAACTAGAAAAAATATTTACACCCATGASTTTTTATTTATTTATTTATTTAGCCGCTCCAATGCCAGTACAACTGCTTGAAGTACCTGACAAGATCGACAAATGTGACTTTCTTTTAAAGTGGGAAAAGACTCGTGACAACGGTGCGTCTATAACAAAATACACGGTTTACCAAAGGACAGTGAATGAAAGTGATCAAGCGCAGCGCTGGAGAAATGTCCATTCTTCCCTTGCTTGCGAATATCATGTGCTTAACTTGGAGAGGGGTGAACTCTATGAGTTCAAGGTAACTGCCACAAACAAGGTTGGAGAAGGGATGGAAGATGAACAGTACTTCAAAAAAGTCGAGGTAGAGGCAGGTAAGTTTATCTGAATGACGAGCTTAAGTTTTGACATAAATCTACCATATAAGCTATTGAGGAACCGCAATTAACGTCAGGTGAATCGAGAGGAGATTTCTTGGGAGATATCGGTGCGCTTTGTGTCAGTGGTGACTGAAGTTTTAGTAGTAGGTTTAAGTTATTTTTCTGATAGACTGCATTGTTTAGAAGTCGCTCCGTTGTAACTGGAATTTTACGACGGATAAATAACCTGGGTTTGTAGAGGAGTTTCGCGGTACATCCTCTCTGTCGGTTGAGTGACAGGAGGTAGCAAGTTTCCTCCTTCGTCGAATTTAACCTCTATGAAGGTCAGCTTTCTTTTTACCTTCGAAATTTTCGACAATTTATCAGTGTCAACTACATGTTGAGGTTGTTGCAACTTTCCTCACGAAAGCCTTTAAGTAGTCAGCGCCTACACGACATGTCCACGCGATATTTAAGCAAGACTCCTTGCTCGATATTGGGAAGTTAAATTTGACTGGTTCAGAATAATCGACAGCATTGAACCGAGGTTAAACGCTTCAGGGTGATAAGCTTCTGATACAGTTTATAACAATGACATAAAAGGATAGGCTTTGTCAGTAACTTAACTATAAAACATTGCGAGAAGAGAAAAGTTAAAACCATCACGGTTAAAAACTCTAAAAACTGTAAAAAACTCTGCAAAGGGACGACGTTTCGACGTTTACTCAACGTCATTTTCAAGTCAAAATGAATAAGAAAACTTTATTTGAATATAAATGTACAAAACAAATCCTTAGAGACTTAAATAAAACACTATTAAATGCCAGAAATATTTGCACGCAGTGCCACGTAAACAGTTTAGCACGAACGGAGTCCTTCTGGGTATTTATTCATTTTGACTTAATAAATGACGTTGAGTAAACGTCGAAACGTCGTCGCTTTTTAGAGTTTTTTAGAGCTTTTAGAGTTTTTAACAGTGATGGTTTTAACTTTTGTGTTATCGCAACACTGACATACTTCAATAAACACTTAATGACAGTCCCGAGTAAAACGGTTAGTTTTGTTTCCGGGGAATCTCAATGTTTCCCGAGGCGATATCGAGCCATCAAGGTATTGCCTTTTTCATACGCTTTCAACTTTTTGTAACACCTTATTTTAGCAGCTGGACTTCGGGCGTGTGTATTTATGAGGCTACTCGTTAAGGTTAAGACGAATTGTAGATTTCGACCTAACTTGAGAAAAACTGGCCAATGTTTTCAAGATGAGACGCCTGCAACTTACCTTATTTTAGAATCTCAACAGTTGCCGTAAATTTTTGATCAGTTGGCTATTTGCTAAACTAGAAAAAATATTTACACCCATGAGTTTTTTTTTATTTATTTATTTAGCCGCTCCAATGCCAGTACAACTGCTTGAAGTACCTGACAAGATCGACAAATGTGACTTTCTTTTAAAGTGGGAAAAGACTCGTGACAACGGTGCGTCTATAACAAAATACACGGTTTACCAAAGGACAGTGAATGAAAGTGATCAAGCGCAGCGCTGGAGAAATGTCCATTCTTCCCTTGCTTGCGAATATCATGTGCTTAACTTGGAGAGGGGTGAACTCTATGAGTTCAAGGTAACTGCCACAAACAAGGTTGGAGAAGGGATGGAAGATGAACAGTACTTCAAAAAAGTCAAGGTAGAGGCGGGTAAGTTTATCTGAATGACAAGCTGAAGTTTTGACATAAATTTACCAGATAAGTGGCATACATTCTATGAACGTATTTGCCAAGATTGCCAAATATTTTTGTTTTGGCCATTACTAAATCAATCAATCAATCAATCAATCAATCAATTGCTACTACTATTTAGCCTGGAATTTTTTTTTGTATGTGTGTCTGAGGGGGAGAAGGCTGTTTGAGACACCCCTTCTCATGTGTCTGTTTAAGTATTTACTCAATGGTAATCAAACTTGTATGGCGTGTATACTATCCTATCAGCGTGGCCGAGTGGTTTGGGGCGCTGCTGTTGTAATCCGGAGGTCCCTGGTTCAAGGCCTTCACCCTAGCTACCACTGGCCAGATTTGTTTCTCGGTAGTCTCGAGTTCAAATCCTCGGTCACGTTGATCACGCTTTGTAAATAGACTGGTCTGCCTCCTGCCAGTTGGGATTTTTAACTATGTCGTTTATTTGAATTATTCGTTTCCTTTGTTTTAGAGGCATGCTTGTAAACGGCTAAACTTAATAGACCCCTTTCACGCACATTGGAATGCAGCTGAACTGGAGGACAAAACAAAACTCGAACGAACTTGAAAGCATTGTTCAGTCGCCTTCTTTGTGATCAGTTGGCTATTTGTAAACTAGGGAAAAAATATTTACACCCATCATTTTTTTTTGTAAAGAAGGGTAAGTTTACCTGAATGGCAAGCTGGCAATTGATGAGAAATATATTCATTATTTCCGAGCGAATTTCAAAATGTATGCAACGGAAGAACAGGAACGTGGAATGCAATGTGGACAGTCGAACAGTTGTTGGCAGTTGTTTACTGCCATCTCACAATTTATAGCCCCTTTTCAAAATGCCACTACTCGTGCGTGCGATTGCTGAACTAATCACAGTACTATTTCTCTAATTTCCTCTCTATATCGAACATGTACTGAGAATAAGGACGTATCTGTCATCGCTGAACATCAAGTGAAAGGGTTTATCTCACTTTTTCTTTTTCAGAAAAAAAGAACATAAAAGAAAAGGCAAAAATCTGGAAATATCTGTTTCTGATTCTCCTAGCAGTGGTACTTGCAGCAGTGGTACTTTGGTGTTTCTTGTCTGCAGGTAATAAAAACTGTAACTTATGTTATTAACTAAATCCTACATCGTTAGCCAAACTGCTCATGCTGATGGTTAGTGAATACTGGGTCTTGTGATAAGGTAGTTTGTAACGTAATTCGACCTGGTGAAATATGATTGATTGAACGAGTCATTTCAAATGCGACGAGCGCGAGGCACGAGACTGACCCAGACCTTCTTCCCACCCCTCCACCCCCCACGCGCCCTACTTAAAGTGTAAATATTTACCAATTATTCCATAAGCTTGCGGTAGCTATGAAGTGATAAATAACAAACAAAACGGGTAGCGCGGATGAAATGAAACAATGGATGATTTGGACATTTCAGTTTCATCTAAGTGAAGTGATGCGGTATGGAAAAGGCGGGAAATCCGTCGCGGGTTGCATACTTTATAAGTTGAAAGCGAAAGCGAGGAAGGAGAGCGAGATAGCGCTTCTTTAGAAATATTGCTGTCACATATAATCTCATCTGAAGACGTCCATATTTTGAATAGTTTTAAAGTAGAAAGATGTACGGGAAGATCCGACAGAATAGCGCATCAGAAAACAACGCGCGCTCTTTGCAGCTCTAACTGCGAAATAGAGAGCTTAAATGTTTATGCGGCAATTATCATCGATGGATTATAATTGCGTTGCTCAGGTTTGATGAAATGAACTGTAGTATAAAAAGATTAGACCCAAATGTAAATTTAGAAAGTTTATTACAGAACTAAGCTTAATTTTTGCACTGAAACTGGACTGTTTTCATTTCCTGAACGTGTAGCCGAAACATATTTTGGGCGCATTCCTTTGGGGTGATCTGAATCAGGATCAGTGATCCAAGATCTGTCTGGATCATGGTGCATCAAAGGAACCAATAAATCCACTCAGGACATGGATTCATCGCTTCCTTTGATGCACCATGATCCAGACAGATCTTGGATTACTGATCCTGATTCAGATCACCCNGAAAAAAAAAAAAAAAACAAAACAAAACAAAGACGCTGGAAACAGTGTGTCCCGAATGAAAAAACTAGGAAATATTGGTGAAAAATGCGCGTGCTATGCATTTTTCTGGAAATATACACCGAATGCAAATATGGCGGACCGCTCAGTTGGCGCCCGGGACGAGTCGCATCAAGCGAGGCTAGTCAGGCTTTGATGTTTTGTTTTGACAATGTTTCAGTCAGAAAAGTCTTGCTTCGTCGTCGATCTGGTCTGTTTTTGTTTCGCCCTCCCTATAAGTTGCCGTGTTCCTGAATGTCACGAGAAGGAATTGAAATCTTCCACAGCAGAGAAAGTGTTGTTTTTTTTTTCGTTTCCGCGGTCGCTTCTCAAGGAAAACAGACGAAGGTAAGGCTTGTTTCCATATGATCGCAGACGATCGCGGATCGCGGATCGCAGATCGCAAAAAGTTCTGCGATCGTCTGCGATCATATGGAAACCAAAGTTCT